AGTAAGACTAGATCATGACTAAAGTGTGGCAAGTTCTTCGCTCAGTGTGGTCTTGGTTCATCATGAGTAACTCCCAAGTACACAGAGCTGCAGCGGGCAGCTGGGAGGCACACATTTCAGGAGCATATGTTTCAGGAACATTGCCATAGCCCACACAATGATGCCAGGCTCCTTTAAACTGAAGAGGCCAGAGAAGATGCCCCACATTCTAGAAGCATGAGGTGAACTGCAATCTTAGCATGACTGCAGAACTGTCCCTTTGCTAAAGGTTGATTTGCAGAGAGAATATTATACAGACGATTCAAGGGTGGTCCTGTGCATTGGTCCCATGAATCTGGTTTGCGGTAAAAAATGAAAGAACAGCAAGCTAATGATGAACCAATGCTCTTAGGTTGCAATGGTTTTTCTGTAAAGAAAAGTTAGCGTCCTTTCTCTGTGTGTCTTACTGCCTCCTTGGCTTCTGTGTGCATTGGGGAATCTGTGCATTAATTCAGTATCAGTTGGGGAAGAGATGACGTGACTTAAAAGAAACTGAAAGTAAACATGTTGAACTTTCTCTGGCAATGGTTGTGTCTGTTTGCTAGTATTTTATTTTGCTTCGCTTTGTGGGTATAACCTGCACATGTATATCACATTCAGATATCTTAATTCTGAATATCCTGATTTCTTGTGGATGTATGTTAATCCCATTCTATATGGATGCAGTTCTGTAATAATGGTTGGTTGGTGTGTGTGTACGAAGGAAGGAAATGATCACGGCTGAGTGGGGGCAAGAAAGGCTGATGGCAGACTTAGGAATGCAAACAAGGCTTGCTTGACCTAGTCCTCTGTATTTGGGTTAATCCAGAACAAGCCCAGGTGAACCATCCCTGCAGAAGTTGATGCCAACTTGTTTTCCTGAGACCTTCCACTGTTTTTCATGTAATTCTGAGTCCATGTCACTTGGCTGCTGGTTGCAAAGGTGACATGTGAAAGTACTCTAAGGCTATTGCAGCCAACACACGTTCGTGACAAAATTCACTTGAAGTTAATGGGCTAGCAGTTGCTCTTGCATGACTACCGCTTTACCACACCTCCGGTTTACCAGGCAGAACACTGCCTGCGCTAGCCAAATATGAGTGCTGCACCCACATCATTCAGTACCCTGCTCAAACATTGCCGAAAGGGTTAATTGACTGAAATATTGCTGCATGCAGACTTCCAAACCTAAACCATATGTAAAATAAAGCCAGGATTTCAGTCAATCTGTGAGTCATGTTTTACTGTCCTTAAAACTCCAAACAAGGAGCTGTCTGTAGAAGCTTTTGAAGCCCCAACAGTCCTTAGCATAAGTCCTAACAATACCGAAAAAATAAATAAAAGGAATTTGAGAAGTCTTTCTTTTCTAATGGAAGAGTGTGCCACTCAGATAAACCTGGCTTCATTTCCTTGCATTAAATTCCAGATAGCCTTTAAAGCTACCGCCTTCAAGTATTCATATACCATTTCTGTATATGAATCTGGGAAGGGATTCAGAGGAGGGCCTCTCATTCAAAGAACATATAAAAATCATTGCTTCTAATATATTTTTGAAAATGGTTGAGGAAACTTTCAGAGATGTTCAAAAAAATTCTCATTGTTTAATAATATGGCAGAAATTTATGAACCATACCCATGAACAAATGATGACACAGCATGATTACTGACATATTTTGAAGTACAGTATTAATGCTGCCTCTTCCACACCAGCATTTTACATTCAATGTCTGCATTTTTTCAGGTTAGACTGAATTTCAGAAAAATCACACTTGTCCACATTTGACCCAAATTATCTTTTAATTATCTGTGACTTGTTTATCTCTAGTCTTTTGATTGATCCATAGACAGTGCAAACAATGCATCAAAAAGAAATTCCATTAAGTTGAATCAGGTTTGCTCACTAGTAATCATGCTGCCCTAGTTAATGCCTTCCATTATTGCTTTTGCATTGGATGAGTGCAAAATTTCATGGTCCAGTGTTGTGTTGTGTTGTGTGTGTTTTCTTTTGCATTAGTTTGTTGGTAGGACTGATGCTTTTGCAGTGCTCCACCACACAAAATTCACTGCTTGCCTTACTTCAGAGAGAGAGAGAGAGAGAGAGAGAGAGAGAGAGAGAGAGAGAGAGAGAGAGAGAGAGAGAGAGATTCTCTTTTTGAACTGGAGAGAATAAGGCAAATCAAAACACATGATTAAAATCAAAGCCGGGATTCACGTATACCTGTTTTGGGAATGAGGGCACAAAGAAATGGGTGGTGGCTTATTTTTTGCTTCTCATTACATTACAGCCACTTACATGTCATGGGAGGCAGGTGGCAAGGGTAGTCAGATTAGGATGACAAAAAGCCCTGTATAGAGCATGTAATGTGACAGCTAACAGCTGTGAATATTCTTGAAATATCTGAAATCTTGCAACTTCTATTTGCATAATGCTAGGGAATTATCCTTCCTGAGGCATCTCAGGTTTCTTGCATCCAAGGCATCTTACAAAGGATGCTATTTCCTGGTCTGCAGAAGAGATGGTGCACCCTTTACTTACCACGTGTATCCAGTTCTGTACAGCTTTCTTCCCCCAGTGTCGTCATAGCCACAGTAAAATAAGCACATGAAGCACATCGGTTTTGCCTGAAGAGACAACAGCAGTCGGAGACCACAGAGGCTATCAAAACAAGTTTATATTGCACCGCAGCTCCCGCACTTGCTGTGAAATTGACCTCCCATCACATTTGTTTAGGCACTGAGCCTATAAACACTTAAATGTATTTTAAGCTTTGCAACCAGGAATGGCCTCATTGAGGTCGATGGAATTCACATGGTAGTGTAGTTAAGCATGTTTACAAGCGTGTGTGATCTGATCCTTGGTAAATTACTGTAGCTGAGTAGTAATTCCACAAAGTTTAGAAACATCGTTTGCACTACTTGATTTGCATATGGGTATATGTTTTAGATGTTCATCCCTGTAAGACAGATTTAGCCACTGTTTTTTAAGTTTCTTCCCAAGCAGTAAATGTTGGTTTACCTTCTAAAAAATTTCAGCTATTAACCTGGGCTTCAGTCCTGCCCACACTCCCTAAAGTTTGCCCCACTAATTGCTATGGACTGTGGCCATTTTATTTTGATTAAAAGTACTAAGTAGGTTTCATTTTTATGATTGGTACTATTTCTTCTCCTTTAGGTATGCTACTGAGATAGTACAGTATATTCACAGAGCCATATTCTTGTGTTTAGGAAAGAACAATATTAAAGAAACACAATCAAATACTTAAGTAACTGCTATATATTATTTGATGATATCTTAGAGAACAGTCCTATGGTCCCTGGCAGGTTGTGCCAGTCAGCAGCCATCAGATACAGGATGGATGCACCCACTCACTCAAGGCCATAGACAGACCAACGGCCTTGGGGCAGAGGAAGCCCTGCTCAGATTGTCTGCACCCTTCCTGGTTGCTTCAGAAAGCGAAGGAGCAGCTCCTCTTCCAACTCAGAAGGGGATCATAAGAAGCAGAAGGGGCATGCCAATGGGCAGGGAAACAACATGGATCCCCAAGCCATGGATCCCCAAGCCTGTTTCTGTCCCCACCCACAGCAAGCTAAGCAAACCAGACAGGTTCAGAGGCCTGTCTAACACAGATGCTCAAATGGAGGCTGGAAAGGTTGTAAAGGTCTCTGTAATTGCTTTCACCCTGGCAAGGCTTAGGATAGGTGAAGGATTCCCAGACTGGAGCCTTCCATTTGTGGAGCAATCCTTTTGGATTGTGCCCTGAATTAATTTTATTTAAGGGAGCAATCCAATGGCCCCTGTTCAGCCTCCGAAGGGTCATAGGATACTTTGGATTCCCAAACCTGAGGTCGGAGAGAGCAGCAGCTTTCAGGCAGGTTTCCTGCAGGATCAGCTCCACCTGTATATATGAGACCTGTTCTAAGATTATCTTCAGCAGCCCTTCTCCAACAGCCTGCGCTGCAGGAGCAGGAGCTGAGGTGCCTGGTGACTAGAAAAAGGACTTTATCCATTGCAGCACTCTGGCGCTTCCCACTCTAGGCTCCTTTCAGCAGAGCTGATGGTATTCCATGAACATTTTACTCTCTCGGTTTGTGCTGTTTTAAATATGGTACTTTATTTTAAAACATTGCACTGCTGCTAGGTTTGGGGTTGTATTTTGAGGTTTATCCTTTATTTTATACTGTATTGTTAAAATTTAAGCATTGGTATTGCATTTTATCATGTTGTATTTTATGGTTTTAATAGTTGTGAACTGCCCAGAGAACTATGGCTACTGAATGGTATAAAAATGTAAAATAAAATAAAATACCTCAAATCAGTATTCAAATATAATGTATAATGGTATCTATAGCCTGGAAAATTTCCCCCCATTTTTAAGTCTTGCATATCTTTCTTTTGCTGTCCTCTAAAGTGGTAAATGTCAGTGACAGCAGAAGAAAACATCATAAGCCTTATGAGCGTTAAGAAAACCAGAACATGTTTTTTGTATGTAAAGTCAATTCTCTTGGGCCAACATATTTAGAAAATGGTTTTTGACTGGGCACTCAGTTCTAAATGTAGCTGCTACAAAGCATCAAAATATGTAGCTAAGTATTAATAAAGAGGACAGTGTCCTCAAATTATACTGTAAATTGTTCACTGTCGTGTTGTTTCTCCATATCTGGAGTATAGATCAGAATTAAATGGAGGAGTTCCATGAAACTGCCCTATAGGACAAGTATATGAATCAGTTCAGTCTGGCTCTATCCACATCTTGTCCGTCATGGTTTCTCTTCATGTCATAGCTGTACCAGCCTAAGACAGAACTGATAACGACTGCAATGCAACTTGTATGATTTTGCGCTGGCAAAACAGGCCTTGGACCCACCTTAAAAGCCCACTGAAGCCAACAGATCATAGGATTACACTGCAAGCATGAATATGGAAGAAGACAGTTCTTTCTCATGAGTATCCTTCTAATTCAGCCTGTTATTTCAATTTTCAGCATGCGAGACAGAAGCAGGAAAAGTTTGCCAGTTTTCATTAGAAGAACACATCCAGCCTTTTAAAGACAACATGGAGAAATTCATCAGTCAAGGTAAATAATGCCATGTCATTTAACCTTCCTGAACTTTATCAAAAGAAGGTTATAAAAACAGTTTTAGACGTCATATAGACCAACAGAGGAGATTCTATTTTTGAAATAATAGAAATCAGTAGGTTAGCTTCATCAGATGGCCTCTATTTTCAGAACTGCTCTACCTGTTCTGTATTCCTTTTCTGAATGGTGGAATATGCACCATTAAAAGTTATTGGCTTTTAAGTACAGCTTTTTGATGAATTCATGTTCTGAATAGGAAACAATTTCCCAACATTTGTTTCTTGACAATTTCATAGAACCGGAGGCTAGAGCTCTGTGTTGAGTTGTCTCTCCAAAGACATGGCACTATTTCTCAAAAATATGGTATGAGCAGAAATTCTGGTTTATTTCACTAGCAAATGACTTTTGTAAAACCACATAATTTGGAAGCAAAATCTAAAAATTCTGTGAAATGCTTTGGTCTCATTCAGAGAAAGTGCCACAGAAATACTTTTAGTCCATGTCTCATTTCTTACCTCTGTTTCAAAGTATTCAGTTTTCCCAGCCAACTGCCACCGAGTATGATGTTTACTGTGCTTCTCATCCACTCTCTCTGTGTATCCATATGCATGAACACATGTGTGCACCATTTTTAAAAGGGAGTTACATCTACTTTGACACCAAGGCAGGAATTTTGTTTTTTCTCTTAGGCAGAAGCATTTTGCCTTACAGGAAAATATTGTATTGAGGACCCATGTTTTCCCTTATGAATTTTGGGACTAAGATTAACATACTGTAGATGGATGGAAAAATTGTTTGGTTAACTTCCAAAATTAAAGAAATGTTCTATAATTCACTATATGAAGGCCTTTGTTTTTATTTAGCTAGACTGAATTCAGACTTGAAAGAGTTCATGTAGGATTTCTCTTTCCTGCTTAGCTTGTGACAGGCTTTTGATCTCAGTATTTTTTCTAAGGGCTTTTGTTGTTTACGCAGGCATAATCAATGAGTGGCTTCAGTCAGACTGTTGTGCACAGGCAAATCATTTAGCGGGGAAAAGAGGGTAACTTTTGGCACCTTTGAGGATTTGTCTGTTTATATAGGGTGTGTTCTGGGAAAAATAAAATAGAATTCCAAACATTTTCTGAAGTTTAATGTCTTGAAATTAACATTGTCTGCATAAATGCTTCTTCATTATACAGTTTGTGGATTATATGTATCCTTTCTGCATTTTAGTCAAGCTGTTTACTTGCTTTTCTGAACTTTCCTTTGTGAGAAGATTCTCTGAATTTAGTCAAGCCAATTCCGTAGCATCTCTTCTGTTGTGATGATTAGGCATGAATATGCAAAGAGAGTGAAATGAAAGAGTTTCCAGTGCATGAGGACCATGGCATCTCATAGCCCTTAAAACTGATAAGCTGCAGATGAACTCTATCATTGCACAGCCTTGGATCGCACATGTGCGTCATGGACACCTCTCTACCCACACATGATACAAATCAAATATGTGAACTTCAGCTCTTGCCTTTTGTTTCTATGCACCTACCCACAGTTGGACTGATCTTTGTCCCAACACTTTGCTGCCAATTTTCCCATTGGCCAACATCCTCATCTTTAGCACTTCCCAGCACACCCATAACCATAACCTGGAAAATTACAGCTCCTCACATACCTGCCTCCCCAGGTCTGTTGATCTTATTGCCATTGGGATCTGAGCCATTTCAGTGCACTTTTCTCCTCATTTGGCTAGCAAATGAGATATTCTTTGCCTGCACTATTGCCTAATAAGTTCCATCTTAACCTAGAATCCACCTCTTTAGAAATTTAAAAACTATAAAGAAATACAAATGCTTAAGAGTGTGGGCATGGGACTCAGGAGATCTGGATTCAGGTAGCATGAAGCTCACTGGGTGTCTTTGGGTTAGTCATGGAGTCTCAGACTAACCTACCTCATCGGGTTGCTGTGAAGATAAAATGGAGAGGACAAGAAGTTCATAAGCCATCTTAAGTTCTTGCAAGAATAAGAAAGGCTGAGAATAATGATGGTGGTGGTGGTGGTATTAATATCCTACTACTGGAAAGCAATACTATTGAAGAGAGAATGGCAAACAGAAATATCAGGCGAATGCTCAGCCAGCATTCAGTCACTGCTGCCAGGAACTGTTCATTTCTGGCATGTTGGTATGTCAAGTCCTTTTCATGGAGCACAATTGTTTTGGAAGACCTTCCCAGTGGCCATTCTAAGTGCCATCCCAGGCTTGCGGCATTGCTGCAAAGAATAAACAGTTCAACTGGTCAATAAAACTGTGAATTAAAATCACATGCTGCAGCTTCTAGCAATTTATGTTAAAACTTGGTGGCAATCTGAGGTTGCAGGCATCATAACTTCACTGGCATTACCCCCTGCTGATATTGCTCGAACAATAGCAAAGATCAGATTAAATGTGTCTATTTTGTCTTGGTGAGTCATGCACACTTCCGATCTGGGGAGCACATAGGCTAAATTTAACTTGCTAACTCATATTAGGAGGCAATGAAATTAGTACGTCTGCTCCTCCTGAGCCATCGGGAAAGCTGACAGACACAAAATAGAACATATTCAGGGGGGCAGATGCTCCACCAGGCAAGTGTCTCATGGACCATACTCTTCACCTCTTCCGCAGTATGACAGGACCTTCTCTTTGACAGCACCAATGGAATTGTCTTTCCAAAGGGAGTAAATTGGCTTATTCACTGCTTCCCTTTTGAGAAGCACTAAAGGTAGAACAGGGAGTAGGAAATGTATGCCTGACCTCTAGGGCATCCATCTGAACCCTGTGGCATACAACACATGCCTTGATACAAACTGAGAATAATCATGGTACATTATTGCTGTTCATATCCCACTTTAATCATGGGCACTTCCCTATGCTCAAAAAACAAATAGTGATCTACAAGGGGAAAATTTCCACCCTCGGTTTTGCTAGGATAATTTTGATGAGAGAAGTATTGAGCCTCCTCAAAGACCTTTATTCTGTTGCATATCTTGTTTGACTTTCCACTCAGTGAAGATTAAATGCTCCAAGCTACAGTACTCTGTTTGCAATGACACATGGTAAAAGGCATTGATTTGGACAAATAAATAAAGCTGTCAATAAGCAGGAGAAATTCTAAAGTAGAGTCATAATAAATTAGACAATGATTGTTCTAACACTCTAAATGAGCAAGGGGAGGGGCATCTCTCTGCACACAGAGACTCAAAAGGATTTGACGTGTAGAGGGGCAGAAGAAAAGAGTTGTCTTCTACCTGAGATTTCCTGAACATCTGGTATTCAGTTACACTGAGAAGCTGTGATATTTCCTTAAGAGTAAATAGGAGTTCAGAGGAAACAGTACTTCCTTGCCTTTATTTCCACTTACTTGGATCCCACTCAGCAAAAATAGCTTAAATTCCTGAAAGCACTTCAGGCTAGAAGGTGGCCTGACATAGCAATACCAATTGCTGAGTTATGGCTGCATCTGGCAATAATGGTAATCAAACTGTTTCTTGTAACACGGGAGTTTCAGGTGATTGTTCAGGTCCATTGTAATGGCTGCAGCAGAGTTGTTTTTAGAATGTGAACCAGCTAATTCAGCAACTCTAAAAGGCCTGTGCCTTTTTGTAGTGGCCATTTTCTTCTTCATGACAAACAAATCACTGACTTCAGGACCCATGTGACATCCTAGGCTTCCTCAGTCTGATATGAGAAGTCAAAGATCTCAGGTGTTTCACTGGTTCCAGATAGAGCTCCCACAGTTTCCCCAGAAACTCAGGTATTCTGAAACATTCTGAAATGTAAGATTTTCCTTTTCAGAACAGGTAGAGACACAAGCCATCTTCAGATGTTAACTGGGAGTGTGTAGAGAACCTGGCGATACCCTGGCTAAATAGGGCTGCCAGTCACATGGGTCTGTATAACTACATTCAGTTGATCATGGTGGCCGTGCCTTTGGCAGAGCTTCCACAACAACACAGGCAGGTTGGAAGCATGGAGGATGGAGCAGGCATCTCTAGCTCCCTCCATACTAAAAATTATCCCCACCCTTCTTCAAATGCCTGAACATGGCTATGATGCAAACAAGACTGAGGAGAAGCCCCTAAAAGATGAGAAAGTGTGCTCATCAGGAGAACCTTTTCAGAGCCTCAGTAGCACAAGGGCGGCAGTGCAGCAAAGACTTTTTTCTGGAGTTTTCTAATACTTACAGTATCTATTGGTGTCAGAGCACTTTGTTAGCTGCCTTCAAGTTGTATCCAGCTTATGGTGACCCTATGAATGAATGCCCCCAAAATGTCCTGTTCTTGACAGCTCATCTCACCTCTTATAAATTCAAGAGCTGTGGCTTCTTCTATGGAGTCAGTCCATCTCCTATCAGTTCTGCCCTTTCTTCTTCTGCTAACTACTTTCCCTAGCATGACTGTCTTCTCCAGTAAGTCTTGCTTTTTTGTGATGTGCCCAAGGAATGACAGCTTGGGTTTTGTCATGTTTGCTTCTGGGGAAAGTTCTGACTTGATTTGATCTAAGATCCATTTGTTCATCTTTCTGTCAGTCCAGGCTATTTGCAAAGCTCTCCTCCAGTGCTGTCTTCAAACACCTTATTTTTTTCCTGTCAACTTCCTTTACTGTCCAGTTTTCACACCCATATATAATGATTAGGAATATTAGATTGTGGATGATCTTAGCCTTGGCCTCCAGTGAAACGCCTGATGACCTTTTCCTTCATTGCTGCCCTTTCAAGTCTCAGTCTTCTTTGAATTTCTTGGCTATATTTCCCCTTTGGTTTGATGACTGAGTCAAGGCATGCAATTTTTTCACAGTTTCAATTTCTTCATTGTTGAGAGTAAAGTTGTACAATTTTTCTGTCGTCATGATTTTTGTTTTCTTAATATTCAGCCGCAGTTCTGCTTTTGCACCTTCTTTCATTTTCAAGAGGAACTATTTGAATTAATTGCTGCTTTCTGCCAAGAACAGGTATCATCTGCATCTCTTAAATTATTAATGTATCATCTGCCAATTTTTACTCCTCCTCCTTCTGAGCCTAATCATGTTTTCCTTACAATTTGTACGGATTGAACAAATAGAGGGATAAAATACATCCTTGTCTGATGCCTTTGCCTCTAAGAAACCATTCTGTTTTTTCATATTCTGTCCTAATAGTAGCAGTAGCAGAGCCATGTCTTTTAAGACCATTCATAGCTTATTGAGATCCACAGTCAAAGCAATACTAGGGAAAAAGTGCTGTTGTTCTTCTGGCTGTCTAAGCCACGGACAGGAATTTATGGCCCTCCTTCCATGACATCTTACTCATGGTTATGCTTCTTCAGGTTGATGAGAACTTAGGCCAAATCATCTGGAGGGCTGCATGTTGCCCACCTCTCATTTAAGCTTTGACTGCTTCTGATGATCACAGAATTAGCTTTAAACTGCTATCATCTGGACCTGAGCTTCCAGCTACTTCAGTCTTAACCCTTGCCTTAACCACTGCTCCTGTTTTCCTTCCTGTATTTACATTTTATATTTATTTATTTTATATTTATTGATTTATTTCCTGCCTTTTTCCTACAAAGGGCTCAAGGCAGCTTACATCATTCTCCTCCTCCATCTTATCCCCACAACAACAACCCTGTGAGGTAGGTTGGGCTGAGAGTCTGTGACTGGCCCAAAGTCACCCAGTTGGCTCCATGGCTGAGCGGGGACTAGAACCCAGATCATCTGAGTCCCAGTCCCATGCTCTTAACCACTGCATCATACTGGCGCTCAGTGGTATTTACATAGCTCCATTATGTTAACTTAACTACTTTTCTGTCTGTTATCTGTTCTGGCACAACTGCCCATTTACCGCAATCTTGATGCTTTTTCCAGGCCACCTGGTCATAAAAAGAAAGAGAAGAGTTGTAGACATGCAGAATAGCAGCTTTTCCTCCTGAGGAAGAAATGTCCTTATCACCACAAGTATATCAGTCATATGCATCTTATTTCTATATAGGGGTTAGGGAGCTGGGTGTTCTCAGATGATACTGGACTCCAGTTCTCATGAGCCTCAGCCAACATGACCAATTATCAGCAAAGATGAATGTTGTAGTTCAACAAAATCTGGAGGGCCACAGTTCCCCACCCCTGCTTATTCCTTGATATTTAAAAAGTGATTTTTTTTCATCTGCAAATTATTTAACTTAATTTCCTGTCCATGCTTAAACAAGGGAATAAAGAATACACAGACATTTCCAGAACAATTTACAAATTCTCAGCATGCTTGTGTGATTATTAAACCAATTATTCATTTGTAATGTCTATAACCTTATTAAAATTGTTAATAAAATTAGCATTTGGTGGAATCACCAGCAGAAAGTGAAGTACTTTATATTACTGATGACCTGGCTTCCATTGTGTTGCCTTCTACATGTTTTAGAAAAAGACTCATCTTGTTTATCCTCTTTCTCATAACATTTGATGCCCGTGTTGTTCCAATGCTAATATTTCCCTTATCCAGCATCTCACAGTACTAAACTCTTATGGTAGACCATTCTTACCTTCTCATGCCTCTTGCATCTTCCTCATACCACCAACAGGGGAGATGGAAGCATCAGGAAATGCAGTGCTGGTGGGCTGCCATTCCTTCGGTGGAAAAATGCAGTTGGACTCCACTACACACATTTAATGGAGAAATCTCATCCATTCAGTAAGAGTTGTCAGTTGTTGAGTATCAGCTGATGAACAATAGGATTCACTCATATATGTTCCCTTTCTGCTGAGTACTTAGGACTTGTGAAAGTAATATTTGTACAGCTACTGATTCTTGAATATAACTGACTACTCATCTGCTTTTTCTGAATTCTGAATTCTGATTTCTTCTATGAAACTTTCTGGTCATTTATAGCATTACAATTCAGGTAATGAAAAGCTTTTTGGTACATTCAAAGAGCACAGGTTTATGAAAGGGTAATTATTTTTGAAGTGTTCACAAAATTCTTGCCAAGGGATAGAAGCAATATTTCATTCACATTTTAAAACAAGTCAGTCTAGTTTGCACAGATTGTACTTTGGGGTTTGCACTTTCCTGAATGTTGTGATATACGTCTCCAGTTCTTTTTTTAAAAAGCATCAGGGAAAATTGTGTAGGAAGGGATTGAGAGTGGCACTTGCTAACGCTGTAGTTAACAGGAGAAATTGCACACAAAATGTGAATGTGAATTTTCAAGATGACCTTTAAAATAACCTTCAGAGACTTTTGTGGGAAATGGATTAAATAAACTTGTACTTTAAAAAGCCTTTGCAAAAAGTGAAACGGATTTGCCTATCCCCACTTCTGCCTAACATGAGAAAAATTCCTAACCCTAAACCAATTGATAAAGATCCATGGGCAAAGACTCTTGTTACATGTCGTGGCTTCCACTAAACCATATGGTAGGCTTGAGGTGGGGCCCACAAGGAACAAGCCACAGGAGTGCTGATGGATAATATAATCCCTAAAGAGACTCTTATTTCATTCCTGTGTTCTGCAGAAGGGAATGTCATTGTCAGATTTCAGCATGTGTTTTGTGCACACTTTGAAGGCTCACTTGCATGAGCTACTTCCCATTTTTAACAGCACTTATTTGTTCTGCATATATAGTTTCCACAGTGTAAATGGTGCTAGAAGAGGTTTACCTGGCAAACCCCTTGTATTCTGCCTCTTCCTTATGGACAGAAGGCCTATTTTTGGAAAGCTCTAGAAACATCTAAGAAATGCATTGGGGTAAAAATATTTTCTCCTAGAGAATGTTCAATATCTTGAAATAGTTTGTTTAGGTCAGATTCTTATGACATACTATTTAGTACTTTCAGATAATAAAGAGCTATGTCTGCCATCATTTTTTCATGGTTTGTACAAACCATCTGAATAAGCCTGCTGCTAGTTCAGATAATCCAGACAAATTATTCTGACTGTGTACAAGTGATGCTTACTTATGTCTTTGTTTCTAGAGCACAGGCCTTTTAGCACCTCCCATCCCCCACTAGTAAATTACTAATCAGTGCTGTACTTTTAGAAATTCATTTAAATTACTTGGAGACAGCTGATTTAAGTGCTGAACATTGTTGTTGTTTTAATTGTTCTCATATGTATTTAAGGGATATTTCACTTTTAAAAATATGTGGCTGTGCTTCAGAGAAAGAGAAATGCAACACATACCTGCTGCTGATTAGTGCTTAAGAAAGTCATCAAATTCTTCACATCATTTATTTATTTATTTGACACTTTTGTATACTGTGTCATAGCCACATGGTCTCTAGATGGTTTATATCATATCTCTATGTTCTCCATATCTTATCTCTATTTTCTCATATTTTTATGTTTTCTGTGTTTTTATTCAGCTAAAATTGACCATGAGTTGGAAGAAATATCCCTGGCAGAGACACATAAAAGGTGAGTTTAATGAGCTTTATATGAAATATTCTAATAGGCTTTTTTCCCTTGGTAGAAAAATAAATAAAAGACTACAAGACAAATTGTTAACTTTATATCACAATTTATTTTCTAAGTATGTTTTCTAAGTTTTCTAAGTATGCGATGCTTTCAGATAGTAGGCAATTAAAGCTAGAAAATTCAAGCTGCTCCTCAATTTAACACAACACCAACAGGATTAAAATAAACTAATAAAGATTTTGTAGAAAATGCTGGGTCTTTTTCTCCAGACTAAAAACAGATGCACATTGTTCTTGTTCTGTATTTTGAGCTCCCCACTATATACAAAGGAAAAGGGGAAATTACATTATGAAAGTATTAATAATGTGGCCAATTAAACATTGCTTTAATGTGTCAAATTAGCTTTCCAATGAAGCCAATGCACTCTGCATAATTAAGTATTGATGTAAGCATTACTGAAGTCTGTCTTTGAAGATTTTTCGTTTGTGCTTGCATAACTTCTGGTTTCTTTTTTCTTCTTCCTTTTTTCAAATGTCCTTAAAATTGTGGTTAATATGAATTAGTATGAATAGCAGTGGAAAATGTTTTTTCTTAAAATTCACATTTTCCAAATGACACATGCATCTGCCATTTTTTAAAATTGTACTTTAGCAGAATTCAAATATTCTAGGAAACATAATGGTTCATGCTTTTACACTGCTTAAAGAGTATGGATAGTGGTATAGTAATATATTGAGTGAATAAACAGTCATTTAGAAGAGTGACATTCCTCTTATAAATTTCTATGAGAAATGAAGAATGTCCCATTAGGTTCAAGGGCCTTGAACTGATTTGGGTTGTAGGTGTCCTGTTTCATAAAATGTTACATATTCATTGCTGAAAAACCATTTGATTGTGTCTTTAATGTGTTTCTTGAAACAATGTAAATATAAATAAGGAGAAAAGGATGGGTCTTTGTACCCCAAATAATCCCTTTCACTACAAAGTATGAGATAAGCGTATATTAAGACATGATAGATTGTAATATTTAGAAAGATATTCACTGTTGGAAGATATTGGCCATGAAAACCCAACCCAACTTACTGGGATTCTGGATATATATAAAATAAATAGGTTTTTCATGAACTGCAGTCTCATGTCTTAGGAGTAAAGGGGTTAGTTAAAGGAGCACTGAGAAATAGCATTTGTAGTTACAGAAAACCAGAAGACTTAGAAATAAATGATGCTAAAGTAGGAAAGTACATTGAATTCATCTATAAATATATGTGTGTGATTTCTGTGTGTAATGGAAGTTGATAAAGGAGGTATGACCATTAGAGGCTTTTGCTTAGTTAACTCCTAGTCATGTCAATGAATATGTAAGTAAAACGAACACGGCTATGTTCCTATCACAGTTCACTGATCAGTTCTGTAAAAGTAGTGCATACATTCATGCTATTCCTCAGAACCCCTATAGATGCATCATGGAGTCTACTAGCTGTTTTTCAGTTTTGCCAATTTTGATCTCCAGTCATCTTTGCATTTGAAGAAACCCATATTTTAAAAAAAGGAATACCATGGCAACTGAAAAACCAAAACAGTGATGTAGCTTCTTATAGGTAAAATCTACTAAGGCTACAGAGCAAAAAATATATATACTAGTGGTGTGTACATTATGACATATGCATACCCAAAAGTTAGTCTTTACCTGTCTTTTGTGGACAAGCTTTTTTGGAATCTTTAATGATTAATATTAGAGAAAAGGCTCCCTTAGATAATTGGAAAACCCTGCTTTATATTTTTTTTTCCTTTCCATGTCACTAAAAATGCTGAATTTATATAGCTTTAATTTAAAACAGTTGCTTACATGGTAAGAGTAAACTGGGTGCTTTTTCCTCCTGTGGAGGATATAGAGAATAAAGGTTTTATTTAGAATTCCCCTAACAAATTGTTTCAGTGTCAAACACACTTCTGTGGGAGAGGGTGAGAGGCGAACTCAAGAAAACTAAATAAATAAGAGATTAGTTACATTCTGTTAATCATGGGTAAAATAGCGGTGCATTGGATGAATAGACAAGTGAGTTACTGCTAGTTGCGGTGATGGATTAGCTGAAGCACAATTAATGTGATTAATGTGGTTGGATTTTTCTTTTTGAAGTGAGTATGTGCCACACTGTGTATCTCATGATTGCATGTCTTGGCGTTACAAGGAAATACTGATTTTCTATTGATATGGAAAAAGGGTAAAGAACAGTGCCTCTCCATGACATTGTCCGAGCAAAAGGAAATTACACAAATTTAAATATTTGAAGAATTCTTAAAATAAATTATGATTTGAAAGCAATGCTTCTAGAGCGCAGTTGTTTAGCAGATGAGCTGAAATGGAAAGTTAATCTTTCACACACAATGAAGGCAAAGGAAAATGGTATGTCTGACCTAGACATTCCTGAAAGTGTCTGGCTGTTCATTTGTCAGAAGTGAGATGTTTAATAGTTTCTGAAAGGTTGTGTACTTTTTTATTTATTTATCATATTTAGTGACTTTAAGAGTGTCAATGTGTGAAGTGTTTATTCAAGAAATGGATTTCTGGCACATGGGCAAAAAGAGAAGTGAAATGTTTAGCTCACAATAACAGCATATTCTAAGATCTCTGGGTAAGTATCCTGACTTGAGAAGAAAGCACACAGGTCTGTGTTTATCTAGCTTGCACAGGCAGACAAGGAAGGCTCCAGACTGGTATTAAAGCTGAAGTGATATGGAATGTCTTCTCCAAGCCCCAAACAATTACATCACCCCCTGAACGATATTGATAAAGTGCAATAGAAAAAGACCTGGCACTTCCCAGTGCAAACCCTTATTGCTACCTCCTTGAGAACTTGTGAAATACTTGACACAGTGAAGTATAAAATATGCTTGTTTCAGAGGCGGAGACAAATGACTGTCAAGCATTATAGTTCAGAATTTTAATTTCAGACAGGCAAATACTTCAGCCAGAGGTCTCTAGTACCTGAGAGAGTAGAGGAAAAAAAGCAAAGCAAAGCAAAGCTGAGAGGGAACAGGGACTGAATATGAAAGCTTGTGTTCAAATTCAGCTTTGCCACTCAGTTACATCCCCAGCACAGTATATGTTATATGTAGGTATCACCCATGCATACATTTTCAATTTGAGGGGAAGAGGAACAAAGCAGATCCCATCTCCTTTTTGGAGAAAGAAAAAGAATTAAACAGGTGTCCATCTCCTTTGAAGCCTTTTGAAGAGCAGCATTGGATGTTAACATTCTGAATGTAATCCCTTCCACCACCAGGCTGCTTTCGGTTAGTGGAGAGTAAAGAAGTTAAAAATCAATGAAAAAATTGCTCTCGGCAAAGAAGCAAGATAGAGACAGTTCTTCCTTTCTCCCCTGTCGCCCATATCTGCCTGGTGTGTGAAACTGCTAATCACTCCTGGTATTAGCTCAGTTGGGTGGGTTTGAACTTTGGCGGGTTTTAGAAAGTCAGTTGAGGTTTGTTACGAGCTCAGGAGAGAAAGAAGTTGGATTCACTGCAGGTCATGCTGGACAAAGGGTGTCATGAGGGGGGAAGGCAATAGCATCCAGTGAGTGGAAGGTGTTTGGAACATCTATATGCTTTTTATCCCCTTCTGGTTCACCTTCCTATGTCAGCATTTTTGCTGGTTTGCTTACAGCACCTTCTAGCCTGAAGGTGCTGCTGACAAATCCCAGATTGTACTATCCATACTCTAAGAACTGAACAGATGCCAAGCTTGCTGGAGTTACTGAAACCTAGTTGGAAAAAGAGGGAAGCACTAATTTATCCCAGTGTCTCCACCTGGGCTTCCTGTGCAGCCCTGAGCTCAAATGGAGAGGAAGGAGGTAACTCTTATCTATACTGGTTCTACCTCCTTAGCCAGATACCCCATCCAATACTGTTTGTTCCGCATGTTGGTCACCTGACACACAATTGGCATTCTGCTGGTGTACCACTGATCTTACTGCTGAACTGACTGAGGTGATCTCAGGTGTAGTATTGAGGAACTCAAGGTTTTTGGTCTTGGGAGGCCTTTACTATTCATGCTGAGGCTACTTGTCTTAAGTACAGTTGTACCTCGGTTCATGAACGCCTCAGTTCACAACCCAATTGGGTCATGAACAGAAATTTTGGCAAAATTTTGCCTCCGTTTGCAAACTCCGCATCGGGTGACAACCACGTTCACGGCCATGTTCCCCCACGAGCATGATCGCAATCATACCCATCTTCCCCACATGAAAACTCCAAATATTAACCTCTCTACCCACCACGAGGAGGAGCCATGAGGGCACACTCACCTCAGTCGAGGCCTTCCTGGCTCCTCACCGCCGTCCCGCTTCCAAGCCGGAGGAAGGTCCCCTTGCAGGCACTCACCTGGCTCCAGGAGGGGGAGCAGGAGAGGGAGGCCAGAGAGGCAAGCGCAGGGCAGCTCCCCCGGCCAGGAGAGGGCCACAAGGAGAGAGGTGAAGGCTGTTTTCTGTGGGCCGAGAGGAGGGAGAGGGCCGCGGCCGGTCGTGGCACCCCCTGCCTCTCCCCACCATGGGGAGAAGAAGCGTGGCAGCCGCTTGCCCTGAGAAGGCCATGGTGGAGGGGTGAGAGCCATGGCCCCACTCCTGCTCCACTTCGGCCTGTCTGCCCCTGGGCTCGACAAGGCAGCCACGGCTTCACCCGCAGCCTGGGGACGTGGCTCATATTTTTGTGGTTTTAATTTTTTATTTATTTATTTAAAACTTTTATATGTATAACATAAAGTTATGGTTCAGAACAAATTCACCTTATTTACACTGAACCTTATGGGGAAATTTGACTTGGTTCGCGACCAATTCGGGTTGCGACCAGAATCGTGGAACGAATTAAGTTCATGAACCGAAGTACCACTGTATCTCAGAATTTCATGGCTGTCATTGCAACCATGAGCCTGTTTCAGATAACACTTGGACCAGGGCATGCTTTGGAACTGGACTGGGTGAAAATGGTTTGTGTAGGGGGAAGCC